CCCTCAACCTGGGGCAGGAATAAAATGACACCTTTTCTTTTACTGGTTTATTTTAATTCATAGAAGTTTCTGCTCTTGCTAAGGAATGACTAAACCTCCAGACCAGCAAAGTTAAATGGCACAACTGTGCCTTGAACACACTAGGAGCAAGGCAAGGGGCAGGGAAGACAAAAGGTAAGATTTGCTCTAGGTAAGGCAAGTAAAGGCTGGGCACCTGCCTTTACCGCATGGATGCAATAGAGGATAAAGTTTTTATCTTTGGCCTGTTTTGAGGGGAAAAAGACTATTTATTCTGCCCCTTATGTTCTGATTTTCCCCTGAAGGGCTGCTGCCAGAATTTAGCTCTTATGGGGTGGGAAATCTTCATTCCTTTTAAAAGAAGAATAAGGTTTGGTTTGATACTTACTTTCCAAATCCATGCATGCTGATTGTATTACACTCCTTTCATGTTTCTGTGTTTCCATAATATCCCGTCTTCAGGACAGATAGAAAGGGAATTTAAAACTGCTTCTCCTTTAGCATTAGCACCAAGACCCTGGCTGCAAGGGCAGTGCTTGCCAGTGAAGAGAGAAGAACCAGCCCCAGCGAGATGCTGAGAGGAGTGATCCACAAACCATGTGAAATAACAATTCAAAAGGCACTGACTGGTTTCAAACAAACTGGAGAAGCCGGGGTTTGCACACTGACAATGTGTGAACGTAACAGGGTAAAATCCTGCTGGCAATGGTTTACTCTGCTGTTGGGTGCAGGGATGCAGCTGTTTGGTGTGAGAAGGACTATGATGGTGTTGAGGTGAGTGAAGAAGGAGGGCGGTGTTAGAACGAGAGCTGCAGCATTAGCATGAGCAGTGGAAATGCTGCATAAAACCTGGGGCAGACAGGAAGAACCTTGCCTTAATGGCTGTATATAAGATTATTGCTCACCAGAGCAATTCATGTAGGAAAGTACTGTAAGAGGGTAGTGAGGTACTAGCTGGAGAGAGGATGTTTTGGCAGGCAAAGTGTGCTTTCTGGTGCTCTGCGGTACACTACAGTGCTACCTATCATTTCCAGGGATGCAACAGTGCTGTCACCTTGAGCTGAGACTGGGATGGAGTTAGTCTATTGTCTGGTTTAACATTATGATTTGACATCTTCTGCTTCAGCTGAAGTTCCCCCATTTAGTGAGGGGGTCAAACTGACCTCTGCTCCAACCCTCCACGTAGAGGGGCAAAGGGGGGACATCAAGAAGCAATTTTAGCTGTGAAAGTTTTTTCCTTCTGCAGGAAGAGATGTGGTGGTGAATGATCAAATGAAGGTTTGCGTTTGAGTCCTCAACCACCCCTCACTGCTGGCTGGGTTGAGCTCGGCTCTGTACCTCCACATGGGTTTTTTAGCACAAGAAGCAGAATCCTTGGCAAACTGAAGAAACCCACCCAGGGAAACAGGGAACATTTCCCATGGTGAAACTGGTGCTGACAGGAAACTTAGGAGCAAGGCAAGGGGCAGGGAAGGCAAAAGGTAAGATTTGCTCTAGGTAAGGCAAGTAAAACAGCCAGAATTGAGTCCTGTCACCAGCTTAGTGAATTTACTTGATGGCTGCCTAAAAATCCACGTCCTTCATAATGTTTATTGAAAACTGAAAATGAGACAGGTTTGGAAAATGCTCCTTTTTTCCCCCCCTCTGTTTTTGCTAACATCATGGTGATCTACGGCTGGCTCCCTGCTGGGAGGGCTTCCTACTGCCAGGCTAGGAGGAGATGGGTTAAAACAGCCTCCCCTCTGGGAACAGAGCCATAGGTCCCTGTCAAGTCATGCAAACTGTGAGGTTTCAGGGAAAACTTTTACTCATTCACTGTTTTGGGAATGGGGAGCTAAATCTGTTCTTTGGGCAACCAAAGAAGCAGCCACTGATTTGTTTGCCAGGTGATGGCTTGCAACATCTCTGCTCATTTGGAGCATCTCCTAAGAGCCAGTGCACAAAATGTCACCTGCGGAGTAAGACACAGCCTAGAAACATGTGAAGGTCTCAGGGTCTATTTGCCCCATGCTGCACACGAAACAGAAACAGGTGCCAAAATAATGGTGTTTCCACAGATTCTGGAAATTCCATGGTCACACTTGCCTTTTCCCCACGTTAGTTATTTAGGAAAAAACCAATCAACCCTCAGAGCCACACTTCTGTGGGAACAGCCTTTTGCTGAAGTGGCTGCACTGGGTTCACCTCCCAGGGATGCCCCTGAACTGTGGGGGATGGTGGTGGCTTTCTAATGGGACGTGAACATTTGAAGGGGTTCCTATTCCCATCACAGATCTCCTGTGTTCTCCTGGGAGGCTCCCTCCTTTCCTTTCTCCTCTCCTTACTGCTGCTGAACAGGTACTTACTGCTCCAGGTGTTGCAAAAGGGACAGGACACAGAGGTGCAGGAAACACCCTGGCCACCACACCAGGTGAGGTGTTAGGGGCAACGTGCCCCACCACAACTCCCCTCCACCTCCTTGTTCTGCTGCTTTGCTGCCCAGAACATTGTACAAAGCAGCCCCAAGCAGCTCTGTGCTGGCCATCCCCTGGCCCAGGCAGGAGAGGGGTGATGGGCTGGAGGCAGCTGTGTGCTGATGGGGTGGGTGAATTTCTGGGTACTTGGTTTCATCTTTTGTTTCTGCCTCGCCACTGACTTCTCAAGAAATCTGTTTGTGAGGCTGTTTCCTCTTGCTCAAAGCTCCTGACGTTGGCCAGCACATGGTCTGACGCAGCACCGTGGTGCCACAAGCCCTGTCACAACCCTGCTGCACGTATCGCCGGTCCCCGTGGGAAGCTGGTGCTGTTGGGTAACACCAAGACTTCTGCAGAACAAGTCAGAGTGTGGTACTGACCAGAGAAAAGAGTTGGTGATGAGGGGGTTTGTGAGGGGCCTGTGGTCACAGGGTAAGATGGAAGTGCATTAGATCTTGGTTTATTGATCAGTGTTACATCAGCGGGGAGGTGGGAGTGAGAGTCCTGCCTGAACCCAGGCCTTGGGGAGAAAACCCCTGAGGGTTTGGGAGCAAATAACCACCCTGCTCCATGATTAAATCCTTAACCCCAGAGAGGCGCTAGCACAGAACATCTGCTTAACTGAGGTGCCAAAATTGCCATCTCCTGACTGTATAATGGATGCTTGGATGTCCTATGTGACCAGTGGGTATCTCTGGAGCCTGCAGTCTGTCTTGCACCGGCACTTCCTTGTTTCCACTATGTAGGAAAACTGGGGTGCCTCCAGGTGGCAGCCCTGTCCACTCAAAACAGGGGTTTGTTTCTCCATTGAGATGATAAGGAGACGTTGGTAGTGGCTTTAATTTAGGATTCAGGACACCTTAGCGGCACGGGGGTAGGAGAAAGCTGTATGTGTTAGTGGTGATGCGCCTTGCTTTCATGCAATGGTAGAGCACTGGTAGGACTCATCCCGGACCAGAAGGTGTAGGACGTGGGCTCTAGGCTCTGCCAGCCTATGGACATGGTCAGAGGGTTGCAGGACTGACCCCACAGAATCCTGCCCAGGACCAGGCTGGTAAGAATCATGGGGGTGGAAGATGAGCATGAAACCAAGCACAGACCTTAGTGACTGCAGTGTTCCATTGAATGGTTACAGATAAGAACCTGGAAATATAACACAAAAATGTAATTATATTAAAAAACAAACCAACCAAACAAACCCCAACAAGTATAGACTGGAGTCCTACACAGAAATGACCACCACCACTAGCAAAAAGCTGCCTTCTGGCACTGGGTGATAGTCACCATCTACCCCTTTAGTGGTTGGGACACACTTAATAGCTGTTGGGAAGAGAGGTGGAAAGCTCAGGCTTCAGCCAGCTCTGCATCTGAATGCTTTAAGGACCTAGCTAGCTCATTGCTCACAGGTGCTTGGTGGTATTCAGGAACATGCCCTGTTTTCCAACCACAAATGAGATTTGTAGGCTGATCATGCAGACTTCGCAATTATTCTTCAATGCAGTGAAACAGCAGCGCGAAGAGTTGGTGTGTGGATTCCGGTTAGGCTAAGGAGAGAAGTCCCTTTTGTTTTATATCTTTAGTTAAGGATGAGGTTTTGTTTCTGTCACAATGCACAGAATTATTTCCAAATCATGTTTGAGACTTCCAGAAGAGGTTAACTAATGCTGTGAACTCCTGCACCCAGGGGAGCTCGGAATTAATGCAGTATTCAAGTGGGGAGATCAAAGCCCTGATACCAAATGAAATGCTAAGAGTTTTGCACAAGCAAAAACCTTCAAGACATTTCAGTGCAAGATGCTGGAACCAACCAATGGCTGCAGATGGTGAAAATCTGGCTCCATGGGATGGAGCTGGCCTTATTTGATGATCAAAGCAGGGGCTGACGGTAGCAAATCATTCACTGATAGTTATGGAGGTATTGGCCATGGTCAAGGATGCAAGGTACCATCTGGGAAGCTGTAGGGCAGAAGCAGAGGCAGCATTCTGCACCATCTTTCTCCCCAGATCCCAGCTCACACTACAAGCCTCTTGCTTCTTATCCCACATCGTATCCCACTGTGTAGTTCAGGAAGCTGCTCTACCTAGTGGCTATTTCTTTTTTCCTCTCTTTAACTACCAAGCAGCCCAACCCCAATGTTCTCATTCAGATGGCAGTTCTGTGATAGTCAGATCCTTTGAATAAACCAGAATTCAGCTGCCATCCTTTCATCCCTTGTTGCTTTGCTAAAAAAACCGACAAAACAAAGTATTGCAGAGAGAGTGCATTTTTCAAAGCCTCTGTCTTAGGGCAATATTTTCCTAACTCCCCAAATGCGATCAAGTCAACAATTTATAAGGGTAGAGTTAGGCCACTAATTAAGCAAGAACTGCAGGAAAAATTGAAGCGGGATCTACAGCATTGACCTGTCCTTTTTCAAATGCTAAGTTTATAAACGTGACCGTGCATTTCAAATGGGTCAAGAGAGCTTGGTTGCAAGCACCCAACACATGGCTGTGAATTAATATTTAATCAAACGTACAACATAGGGCTGAATATTAAAGCTTATCTTTGATTTTTACTTCCATGATTTTCTTGGCTTTCTAAACCCCTCTGAAAATACTTCAGTATTTCATAACAGTGTTACTCAGACGATATGTTTCTTAGCTTTGATTAAAGCTAGGGAGAATGTAAATCTACAAAGGGAAATCTAAGCATGACCTCAGCATGAAGTATGTGGGAAACTAATTTGGTTACATCCCTATTAGTAATGACAAATCAAATTGTTCCTCCTGTTAAATCACTAATACAGTAAGGTTTTGCAACTCAGCACATCGCACGCACGATAAATCAGTTCAGTCTGTACACAAATACTGAAGACTGCTTTAAGTCTGGTTGATTCCTGATTCCAGACTGTTGCAGGGCAGTTCAGTTGAGCCATCCTAGTTCCCTCGGTACCTGGAAAGAAAAAAACCTAAAGTTAATCCCTACTCCCATGTACCATATATTAAGCACTCAACATTTATAACCCTGCAGCTGATTGCTTAGCAACGTCTTTGGGAAGAAGGGCTCACCTGATGTGCTGTCAGGCGCTCTTCTGTGGCAGGGGATGAGGACAGATGAAATGAGGTCAGGCAGTGTAAGCTTATCCCATGCCGAGTGGTGTTTGCTCCACTCCGTAATGAAATTAATTGAGGTCATTTATTTGACCCTGTTTTATTGTTATAATTTGAAGCTATAATTTGAGGTGGCTCAAAGAGGCACAGTCTTATCTGTAATTACACCTTTATAATTACATTTATATTTTAAAGTAAACTTTTTCATGTATTGCTCTGAATGGACTATGTATGATAGAGAATGAGGTTGTCTTATACTGCTTTTCAGCCACAGCAGCATTAGTGAAAATGTGGACTATAAATGGGATGGGGAACTGTTGGAATCAGTCAGTTGTGTGCTATTTCATTTGATTTTATGAGAGTGCTTGATGTATCTTATATCTTAAGGTTAAAGCTCAGCCTAAACCCCTCTACAGGCCCAAAATCAAAGGTTAGGGCAATTGAATGAGACAAAGAAGAGCTGCTGTTGAGTCACATTAACTTTTAAAAGCTGCAGAGCCAGTGCAAAAAGGTTGTCCTCATCTGACCAAGCTCTAGGAGTTCACAGTGGAAGAAAAACCATGGACCATATACACCTCCAGACAGATGGTTGTGACTGTGGTGAGCAAGCAGTGAGGGACCAGCCCCGGCTGATGGTGAGCATAAATTGCATTGCTTGTTCTATTTAGCATCTCGCTTGGTGAGACCACGATACGGGTATAAAAGCACCTTTTGTCTACACAGCCAATTTGGCTGCCTCTGTTCCCCCAGGCTCTGCTCACCGGCTGTCTCCACGGCATGCATATGAGCTCCCTCCTGTCTCTGCTCTGGAGCAAACCAACTGGTTTCTCCCAAGGAGAATCCTTGACATGGCAGTCAGAGTTGTTTTTTCCAAGGCTGCACAGACAGAAGAACTTGTCATGAGCTGGATCAAACTCTACCCTGGACAATCCCCTACCCATCCCAGGAGGCATCATGTTCCACCAACTTACATGCCATGCTGCAGAACCCTGAACACCTTCACATCCAGCTGCAAAAACATCCTGCTGGCAGGCTGCCACCCAGTCCTTCCATCACTTGGGGAATTTAAACTTTAAAGAAATGAAGTTCCTGATACAATAATTATTGACCCAGGGTGTGTGGGGCTCTGCAGGGAGCTCACAGCATGAGGGCAACCATTGCCCTTCAGAGAGTGCTGGTCTTTAGCGGTGTGGACACAAGCCAAGCCGTAGCAATGAGCTTGGGTTAATGGTGCCTCCCAGGCGTTTTCCACAGCGGCAGCAAATGCACAGCCTTTGCCAAGTAACCAACACTCAGCATTTCCTTGTTTCTCCCTAAGATTATTTCTGGGCTTTGCAAACCTCTTATTCCTTGTGGGTCCCTGCTCCAACAGCAAAGTGATGGGGCCTATCTGGAGCTGTAAAAGTGGGTGATGCAGCAGGTCCATGTGGATGGGTCTGCACAGGCAGAATGAGGACACAAAGTGTGAGGAGCCCAGAACAAGGGAAGCAGCGAACCTGTGCAGGAACAAGAAAAATCTGGTGATGTTGCTGGAAGAAAACAGCTTGGAAATGAATCTCAACTGTACTCCATACTGGAGGGAATCTCCTGAAGCATGTAAGAAATCTGCCAATTTACATTAAATAGTTAAAAAGAAGGAGTTGAGATGTTTTTAGTGTAGCAAAACCCAAACTCACAGATTTAGTGAGAAAGAGGCAGTGAAAGGGTTCTAAGTTCTTTACTTACAAATAACCTTGGTGCAGCTAGCAGTGTATCCTGAACGTACCTCCTTCTCAGCAAAATAGTGCCCAAATTGAGAGCTGAGCTCTAAAGGGCACAGTTGACATCACCTTGGGTACCTGGTTCAGATCTCAGCAAATAAACATCTTTCATTTCTTATCTATATTTACTTCATAGTGTATGTATGTATTTGTAGCCAAGCATCTGTCTGTACTTGACTTATTCCCTTCTCTATTTAAACATGGACCTGAGAAGAATCATGGACAATCTCTAGTGAAGCCAATCACCTGTCACCAGCAATCAAAGCATTTATAGGAGATGTCCCAGCACATCTCTGCAAGGCCAATATATGTGAACATGGATTTGTAAAAGATGCACTAGAACTGACTGACAAAGGACCTGGCAGGCACTGCATGAACAAGCCCCACAAGAACCTCAAGGCCCAGCCACAGGTCAGTGTGGTTTGTTGTAGCTTGCCACAGTTTTCAGAAGTGACGTGGTATTTTTGCAGCCTTGGTTTTTCACTTTCCCACTTGAGGTGGTTTCATTCAAGGCGGCTGCTGTGAAAACGCTTGCTCATCTCCAAAAGAAAAAGAATTAACTTCTTAAGGTGCTTCACTTTGTGCACACAAAACCAATGGTCATTCCTGAAAAATCTGGCTGTGGAAACTATAACAGGGCTGGGAGAGCAGGGCCATAAAAGCACTGTGTTCTTCATGCAATACTTGTTCTAGTAGGAGACCAAACACTACCTTTTGGGGCTGCTTTCTCAAGCAGGGCAGCAGATACTTTAAGCAACCCAGGAACATTCTGTTAAACACAGTGAGTGTGATTAAACTGGGTGCAAATTCACTCCAACCACTTTGGTCTCCTTCACTTGCTGTGTCGTCTTCAGGTCCTTCAGAGCAGGTATCCCCCCTCCAAAATGTGTAGAGCCAAGTGATAGGGAATGAGACTTGATCAGGCAAAGCTGAAAAGGCTGGAGAAATGTCCTGTGACTCATTTCATACAAAGTCTGGGCTGGCTGGGGTGATATCAGTGGCTTCACCATCACGACCTCCAAAACTAAACACCCCACAGCTTCCTGGTCACTCTTATCCTTCCTCAGCATCTTGACACATCAGCAGCAGCCTTGGCTGTTCGAGCAGAAGTCTCCCCTGTGCAGTCTGTTATTAAATTCTCTTATGTCTTTATTAGATATCAGATGTGATGAAAGAAGGTGATGGCTCCAGGGAAATCTTGCATGAGGTGTGGGAATGGGATGTTAATGGAATAGGGAAGACACAAAGTCTACAAGTGTAATGATCTTCTAATGTCCCCGTGAGAGTATTAGGATACAGAACTCTTATTTTTTCTTTTCCACCCAAAGAAAATGCACTTGAGGAGTATATAGAGCAAGGTGCTTATCTCTTCCCTACCCAATGCTGCTCTCTTCTGTTTTAAGGATGGTTTTGGTGTCTTTGGTTTTTATTATTTTGCTGTTCTGCAATCTCCATCAATTTTATCTCATGTATTAGTATAGCAAATGAGTTCTTTCTATGTTCCATTTCAGAGCAAAATGGCAAAATCACTGCAGAATCAGCAGTTATCAGTTAAACAGGAAAGGGGAAGATGGATGCAGACCACAGAACTAAACCCCAAGGAGCTGGTGTGTGGCAGGGGCCTGCCCAAGGCAGGAGGAGGCAAACCCAGGGCCCCAGGTAAATAACTGAATAGCTTAAAATGCTGCCCTATGTTACCCTTGTATTCCTTAATTTAAGAGGTGTTAAAACAGAGAGAGGGTTGAAAGAATATGGTGTGAATTATTTAAATGGAGGTGCTTAAAAGCTCAAGAAATGCAGACAAATGGTTAAACCTGTATGTTCAGGAGGGCTGTGTTTACATTAGCTTCAGTACTCATCCCTTCTGGTGTGCCCTGCACGCATGTGCACGTCCTACTCCTTCCTTCCTTCATTCCAAAAAGGCATCTTGTGAGTGCCTATGATACCAGCAGTAATTGTAAAGTTAGGTTTTCACACCAGAAACCCTCCTTTCTTTCACCATGGCTACAGGCTCCCCCCATGCTGAAGGAGGTCCATGAAGGCAGCTGTACAGGGGAAGAGGTGTTCATGCAGACTTCTCCTTAATTGACCCTTGCAGTACAGCCTGAAAGATGCTATAGGATGGACATCACACAACTGCCCTCAGACTTAGGATATATTTAAGAATTAAGGTGAATCAAAACATCTTAGAAGTTTCAACTGAGATTTTCTTGTATTAAATTTCCAGAGGACTGGAAATTTACCAGTATTATCTTCCTTTAGAAGATAAAAAAGGACATTTTTAGGGTTTAAACTTCCTTCTAGCTGTAAATTAATTTGAAATTTGTGGTTATTTCTAATCAGGAATGCATTTTGCACTGCAAGTACTGCATCCTGGTGAAGGATGTGCCCTGTCTTCTGTACACAACACAGAAAGGATCTTCCCTTTCAGTGAAAACCCCAGCCAAAGCCAAAGGTGGGGGTGAGGATGGCTGGTTCCAAAAGAGAAGCCCATGTACTCCTGGATCCCAGCTCTTGTCACGGTTTCATGTCTGGCATCATTGTGCTGTTTGTAAGCAGGTTTCCCTTGAGTCTCCCTGATGAGTGTACATGCCCACAGGACAGCAGGACACTGCACACAACTCCTCTGGTTTGAGAAAGCAAACCGGAGCTCAGTTTGCTCCCAGAACACGTCTACATTGCAGCTGCGTTATTAGTTGGCTCTTGGGCTCCCCTTGAGCTCAGTGGTCTGATGCAGCTGCTTGTAACTGCACAAAACCCTGTCCTTCACGAGGAAGGTGTGTTGTCTTTGGCCAGCTGGGATGTGTTTCTTGGATTGCTTCAAGAATAGTTTCTGCTTTAATAGACCTGAGCAGCTGATGATCTTAACGCTTGCTCTAATTGCTGTTTAACTTCAGAACTGGTTTAATGTGTGCAGCAGCAGGAGTTACAAAGAAAATACCCTACCAGAATTTAAATAATAATATTTAAACAAAAATTCAAAGCCTTTATATGTATAGGGAGAGACTCAAACACATGTGGAGCTTTTTAGGCTCTGGGTGTAAAACAGTGTAATCACAGAAACAACAGGATTGGCCATAAGGGTGAGAGCTTGTGTCCTGAAAACCAGAAAGCAAGCAGACTGTGCAAATTGCTTTCTAATGGATTTCTTAAGGTGCTGAAGGAGACTTGTTGGTTAATCTAAGCTAAATCCAAGTTTAATTCTTGTTTTGTTACCATTTGTCAGGATGTTGATCGGGAACTGGAATGGTGTTGATCCAGGATTGCTGGAAACAGATGTGCTACTGAAACCTGCCATATTTTA